TTTTTGGTTTCGGTCGTTGTCCTCTGTATGATTATCTTGGGATCGTTTTATGTTAATTCTCCTTTTTGGAGATTTGTAGTTTTTTTAGTTCTTTAGTATCTGTCATGTCCGTAGGTAGTGAGTCTTGTTTTGGTTTCGAGTAGGGGGGGGAGGGGGCGCTGTCCGGGACGGTCCAGAATTTGACTTGTCGCGGTACAGATCCCACTTTTATGAACCGGTTCGAGAACGGTCCGGGATGAGGCACCCAAATGGACTGGTATCATTTGGGAACGGGACAAAATGGGACAAACATATAAACTAAATCAAAGAGTATTGAATCTATTAAAATTTAAAACAAACAACCAACATATTGATTCCATGATTTTGATTAAAAAAAAAAACACACTGATTCAAGTATTCACTTAGACCAAATTACCAAAGAGTGTTGACTTTATTATATGTAACATACCAATCTATTAAATTTAAGTCACCACTCACCAACATCTAAGATCTAACATAAACATTGTGTTAAAAACAAATTACCAAATGCATTGTTTAGTCTTTTTTCTTTTTTGGCTTGATTGTTTAGTTTTGACTTGGACAATTGTGCTTCTGTTTTTTTATATATTATAGTACAAAGTTAGAATGCTTTTATAGATTGAATACCAAAATGTATTAATAATTATGTAATTGGTACTATAAAATTAATATAAAATATAATAATAATGAATAATATATGTATATATATTATATTTTGTAAATAAAACGGGACGGTTGGGGACAAAACAAAACCGATACCGACATTGTTTAAAACGGTCCGGTACCGAGAACGGGACAAAAATAAAGAAAACTTTTCGGAACCTTATTTTTTGGAACGGGACCATTTCGGTCCGGTTCGGTACGGGAACATTCGGTTTTTTTGCCCACCCTTAGTTTCTAGTGTTGTTAGTGTCGGCTATAGGCGGTCTTCTGACATGTCCTCCCAGTTTATTCAGTTTTTGGTTGTTTATTCAACTAGGGGTTGTACATTCGCACATTTGTGCGTTTCGATAGATAAAATTTTCTATCGTTTTTGAAAAAAAAGGTCAAGATTTTATTGTTACGAGGAGGTTGACATACATCAATTACTGAGAGCGACCACAACCAAAGATGACGGGAGATCCACACGGCTTATGCAGACGATTCGACAAAATAACATAAATAAAATGGCCTTTTACAAGAATCGAGTCGATGGTAAAAAGGAAATAATTGACCGATTCACAGACAAGCCGCAACTTTTATACGACACAAAATTTTGGTTTGCAAAAAAAAA